AAAACAATAGAATTAAAAAAACGTTTATATCTGAATTTTGAACTAATTAATATGTTGGCCTTTTGTTAGGTTTAATTATTTCATGAAAGTTAAATACAATAGGTCGAAAATTTAGTCGATCAAAACCTAAATAAAATTTTATTACTGCAATATTTCAGTAAAAAGTTCTGTGATAAAACCTCTGCGAGCACCAAAATAACTACAAAAAATAAAAAATAAATAAAAAATAAATACAATTAATCACCAAGGAAATATCTTGTTTAAAAAGTATAAAAGTCATTATCAAAACTTTCTTTAAAAAAGTCAGAAAAATAATATTATTAAAGTTTATCTATAAAGAACTCTTTAGAAGGACTTAAATAAGGCAATCATTTCCCAGGAAAAAAAGTTCTTTAGAATTTCTATAAACTTTTAAAACATATGGCCTATAAAAATTCTATAGAGTTTTTATAGAATGTCTATTAATTTCTATAGAAATTGCTATAAAACTTTTTTTTCCATAAAAAAAAAAGTAGAAAAATGTTCTATAGGAGTTCCTATAGATATTAACAGACAATTCTATAGAATTCTATAGAATTTCTATAAGCCATATATTTCAAAAGTTTATAGAAATTCTATGGAACATTTTTTCCTGGGTTCATTAATCCAAATTTTTGAAACCTTGTAAAAAATAAACTACGTTTAATAAAGTTCTTTGTTTCTTTGTAAAGTATTGAAGTTTAGACTTCAATACTTTTTAGAGGAGATAATTAGTATAATCATTATAATGAAATCTAACTATAAAAAAAACGCCAATTATTTGACTAGGTACTAGGCCTTCTTAATTGATAAAAACAAGCGTTTTATCTTTGTTTTTTTTTTTATTTTTTTTTTACATTTTTGTCATCGTTATAGTAAATTATTTACAATATAATCATTTTGAGTTAAGATATGACAGGAGCAGGCAGAAGACAAAAGTCTTATGATCCAGCCCCGTTATATCATTTATATATCAAACAAAGAAAAATTATCCATCATATAAGAAAATACATACATATATATATATATATATATATATATATATATATATATATATATATATATATATATATATATATATATATATATATATATATATATACACACACATACACACAAATACATATACAATACAATACAAATATAAAGATAAGTAATGATATAAAGTGTGATGCCGCTTTTTAACAAAAAGAAAAGTTAAAGAAATAAAAAATAAGAGAAAACAAAATAAAAATTAAAAATAAAATAGTATTTGAGATAGTCATAATCAAGTAACTGTTTTTTTAAGATACTTTTAAAAGTTTGGATTGAAGTTGTAGTTTTACTATTATTTGGGAGAAATGAGTTCCACAAATGTGGCCCTCGGTAAGTTATTGAGAATTCAGATTGTTTTAACAAAGTTTTTGGTACCTGATAATTAAGCAATGAATGCTTTGTTTAATATTTATGATCTATAATAAAAAAAAGATCTTCGAAAATATTAGGTAGCATATGGTATTTTAATCTAAACATGAATAAAAGAATATTATAAATATTTAATTGCTAAACATTCAGCACTCCAAGTTTACGAAGCAGTGAATTGGCAATGGTGTATTTATTAGCATTTAATATAAGGCGGCTTTCTTGATTTTGCTTTTTTAAGATACAAGTTAGTCTTGACGGATAAGTGCTTCCCCAAGCAATGTTACAATAACTAATATAGCTATGAATAAATGAAAAGTAAATAGATTTTAAACAGTTTTTATCCAACATATATCTAGTTTTTTACATGATTCCAATAGTTTTTGAAATTTTATTTTCTATTAGATTAATATGCTCTTTCCAATTTATTTGCTCATCGATTAAAACGCCTAAGAATTTAATGCAGTATGTCTGTTGCAATTTGGTTTTTTCTATTAAAATATCCGGGAGTTTTAAAGCCAACGTGTCAGATTTAGAGGATTTAGAAAAGAGAGTATATTTGCTTTTAGTTGGATTTAGAGAGAGTTTGTTGGCTTTAAACCATTCATTTTGGTTATCAAGTTCACTATTCATAGTGGTAAAGATTGTCTTAATCTTAGAGTGAGTATAAAAAACTTGAGTGTCATCAGCAAAAAGATTAAAGTTTAGTATACTAGATGATAAGTAAATATTGCTGATATAAATAATAAACAACAGAGGCCCCAGAATAGATTCATGTGGAACTCCGCAGGTAATGTTTTCTAATTTAGTGTAGGTTTTGTCATAAGTTTGTCATATTTGTTCTTTTTCCTTACTCTGAATTCCATACTGTAGGTTGCAAAACGACTAAAAAAACTTTTTAATTATACCGATAATGTGTCCGTTATAAACAGAATGTTCTTTAACTTCAACCATTACCCAACTAAGACCTATACCCAGTTATTCCAACGATAAAACACGTTTTTTTTTTTAAAATGCGTGTTAAATTGTTTTTGTTAAAAGTTGTATAAAACAACAACAAAGCAATACTGCGTGGTTGTTTTGTCAATATAAAAAACATAAATATAAAAATATAAAAATAATATAAAAATATAAAAACTTCAATATTCAATATAAAAACCTCAATAGTCAATATAAAAACCTCGACATTCTGTTTTCCTTTTGGTTTATACAGTTTATAACATTAAAAATATAAAACGCGTTTTAAATAAAACGTGTTTTACCGTCAGTGTGAACTATTATGTTATTGATATTAGCAATTAGAGCTGCCTGTATCGGACCGAACAATCAGACGACGTGCTGTTGAAGCCGAACTGTTTTCTCAACGCCCTGCAAAGAAACCGCTGATTTCACTAAAGAACCAGAAGAAAAGACTCCTGTTTGCAACATCTCATATTGACTGGAATGTGCAGAAATAGCGAACTGTCCTGTTCAGTGACGAATCAAAGTTTAACGTCATTGGGAGCGATGGCATTTGCCGTGTACGTCGACCGGCCGGAAAACGCTTCGATTTACGTTACTGCCATAAGACCGTGAAGCATGGTGGGGGCAATGTAATGGTCTGGGGGTGTTTTTCTGCTAACGGTCTAGGTCAGATACATCGAATCGATGAAATAATGGACCGTTTCATGTATAAAAATATCCTGAAAGATGCTGAATGGAATATGCCAATAAAATGGGTTTTTCAGCAAGACAACAATCCGAAATACACTGCAAAATTAGTCAAGCAGTGGTATCAAGACAACCACCTATTGGTGATGGATTGGCCGCCTCAATCTTCGGATCTCAACCCTATTGAGAACCTGTGGAAGATCGTCAACCGCAGAGTTAATCGTGAAGGTGTTCGTAATAAGGGTCAACTGTTTGAACAAATCCAAAAGGCCTGGGCAGCGATTTCACAAAGTTTCAGTGATCATCTGATTGAATCTATGCCTCGAAGATGTAAGGCTGTGATCAGCAACAAAGGATTTGCCACGAAATATTGATAGCGAAATATAGCTTGTTCAACATTTTGTGGAGTTGCACTTGTTTTGTCCAGAAGGAAATCAACTTTTTTTAATTCTTTTGATTAATTTATTAATTTTCGTGTACAAATAATGAACTTTGTGATGAATAAAATTTGAAGAACGTTGTCTCTAAACAGTTACATAGTTATTTCTCTAAATTGAAAAAATGCAGCCCTTTTATATAAAGAAACTAAATTAGTATTATTTGGTTGCACTTGTTTTGTCCGATACGGTAATTCTATTGTTTTGCTAAACTTTTTTTGTTAAAACTAAATATTTTTGTGGTCTAAGGTTTTATGAAGACCTGACGGTAAATTAATACGTTTAATAAGGTAAAATAAATACGTTTTTTAGGTTAAATGAACAGTAAGTTAACAATATGATCTGATTGTTTATTGACAATTGTTCTTAATTATAAGCTCTTTCTTGGTCAAAATTCTAGTATTTTTTGTGAAAATTGATTGACATATTGTGTTTTGACGCCTATTTATAGTTAATATACATCAGAACCGATTAGAACTAGAATCAATCAGTAAATTACCTTTTTCAAGAGATTTAGACTATATTTATGCTGACGTCGATGAGCTGAAAATTATATAAAAAAAAGAAAAGTTTCTTTAAATAGCAAAAAAAAAAAATATATTATTTAACTTTTGTTTGGACATAATACGCTGATAAAACCATGCTAATTCCAAATAAAAGAATTCGAATAATTTGTAAATTGCCTTACCTACACCGATTGTTAAAGTTCTGGCACAGAAACAAGAGGTCAAATTTTTGACGCCGGCCTTAACCTATTAAGCGACATTGGTAGGGTAGGAGGGACAGGTAGGGTAGGAGGGACAGGTAGGGTCGGAGGAGTGAACTTTCTGGTTAAATGCTCTTCTGCGGTTCTCTGTGATAAGACTTCGGGGAGCACCTTGATACCAATAAATAAAAAATCTCAATTTGAATCTGAAAATGAATCTCAATCGTTTGAGGTTTTTAATTTTTGAATTTTAAATTTTTAAATTTTTAATTTTTTTTGGGTTCAAGCAAATATGCCAAAATTTTAGGTTTTAAAAAAAGTATAAGTTTGCTTGCCATTTTTGTTTTAAAAATGATGTCCTAATTATTTAAAAAATAAAAGAAGAATTAAAATGATGTTATTTTCATTTTTAATGAAAGTTTTCATTTCAATTTGGTTTTCTTTTCAAAGTTAAAATCATTTGATTTGTTTGGATTGATTTTTTTTTTCTGCTTTTAGCAAATGAAAGGTTTTGTTCGAATAACCCAGTTGCCTTACATTTGACACTATTTTTTGTTAATTATTACAGAAATGGAAACACATTTCTAGTTTTCCGTATTATATTGGCTTTTTAAAAGCAGGCGTAATATTTATAAAAAAAAAAAAAAAAAAAAATTCAATTCAATATCAACTAAATTTAGATACCAATTAAATTTAGTTAATGTTGATTTCATTGTTATGTAATTTTTTATGCATTTTTTTTATTAAAAATTTTTTCCCATAAAACTTAACGTTTAATTTGTAGTATTTCATTTTAAGAAACGAAGGGAAATAACTTTTTCTAAAGGCTTTAACAATTAAAACAATATCAAACTTATATTGAAATTAATTTCATTCATCAAATAATTTGTGGTTGTCTTAAGAGAATCAAACAACATGGTTGCAAATGAAATGGAGGCAGTAGACGCAGTATGGATTATATTAAGTGCGTTTATAGTCTTTACAATGCAAACTGGGTTTGCTTTATTGGAATCAGGTAACATGTAAGCTTTTATTTTGTTTATTACAAATATGTTTGTTTTAATTTTATAGTTTGCTTTTATTATTTTATTTAAATAAGTTTTTATACTATATTATAAAAAGATTTTTATTTATCAAAATTATTTAATTTATCGAAATTAAAATATAACTTTTTGGACTCAAATTATGATTATATACAGCTTTACAATTTTACACGGACTCAAATTAGGATTATATACAGCTTTAAATGCCTCAATTTGAGGGGTTTACAATTTTAATTTATGGTTTGAACACGGTGTATGATATTAGGCGTCGAGTTTTTTTAAAAAGAGATTCTATTAAATCTAAAAGTAATTGATGATTATAAATTTAGTTTAGAATAAGGAAAAAATATTTATCAACTTATTTCTCTTACGTTTTAGACAGGAGGGCAAAAACTTTAGAGCTTTTTTAGGTTAGGCTCCAATCACCATATTTTTTTGCAAAGCATCCTTATTCGACATAAGTATAAACATATAAAACGTTTGGAGTTATCTATCTAAAATACCCAATAAAGCTGTATCTATCTCTAATATAATAATATAAAATGCTCAAAAAAAAAATAACATTGAAATAGTTATTTCTAGAAAATATAAATTATTTAAACTTATGTGGAGGTTATGTAAATTTAAATAAAGGGTATGTAACTTTTATTCGGAGGTTATGTAAGCCTATGTAGAGAGTACGTAAATTTATTTAAATGGAATATAAATTTATGTGGAGGGTTTGTATATTAATGTGGAGAATATGTACATTATTGTGAAGGGTTAAAGAGAAAAACTAAAAACCATCAAAAGTATATTAGTTTTTCATCAGTTGAAAAAATTAGTTTTTTTAAGATTTCCTTTAAATGAGTTTTTGTATTATTTCTTTTAATTCATTTTAGGTTTAGTGTCAATGAAAAGTAAGACAAATATAATGGTAAAAAGTGTTCTAGACGTATGTTTTGGCAGTGTTGCATACTGGTTTATTGGATATGGTATAAGTTTTGGTTCAGATACATCTACAGGTAACTCGTTTTCTGGTAACGGTCAATTTATGACAGATGTCGATGTTTCCACAGATGCTAAAGTCTATATCAAGTATTTTTTTCAGTTATCATTTGCTTCAGCATCTACAACGATAATTTCAGGTTTAAAAATTGTTTAATTTAGGTAAAAAGTATTATACTTTTATATTTACAATATTTAGGAAAATTATTTGCTGCACTGTAACCTTTGCTTCGCTTTTTTTGATTACTCGAAAGCAACAACCAATCTTTTTTTAATCATCTTAAATTCTAATAAAACAATATCAGCTTAGTGTTTTTTATTACAACTCAATTAAGAAACACATTATTCAATAAAAAAAAGAACAAATAAAGTTTAAAATACAGCAGACCAATTTCATTATTATCATATGTCAGCAAACTTTTAGAAAAAATTATGTATTCTCGTATTTACAATTTTTTGAATAACTTTGCTTGTTTTCATTTTCGACAGTTTGGATTTTGCTCAAATCACTGCACTTCTCATGCTCTTATTAGTATTACTGAAATTTGTGGTGTTGTTAAGTGATTTGTGGTGTTGTGAAGTGATTTGTGGTGTTGTGAAGTGATTTGTGGTGCAATTGACAGTGGTATTACTAATCATTGGTTTTCTTCATATATTAGGAATCACACTCAGTTTGTTTCAATTAATGAATTTGAATCCACACACAAAATTATTAAATATGGCGTTCCACAAGGTTCCGTTCTTGGACCGTTATTGTTTTTAATATATATAAATTCTATTGTATACCATTATGCTGATGATACCGATCTTTCATATATCAACAAATCAGCTACGACTCTTTTGTAAAAAAGTTAATCAAGATCTTCATTGCTTATGTAACTGGTTAAATAGTTATTGTATTTCCTTGAATGTCATTAAAACTGAATACATTATTTTTATTTCCCTCAAAAAATTATTGATTATGTTAAAATTAAAATTAAAGGAAAAAAACTTTTTCCATTAAAATATATAAAGTATCTTAGAATATACCTTGATGAAATTTTGAAAAAAAACTTACACGAGCTAACAGTATGCTTTCTCTAATTCGTTACTATATTCTTATCCAAACTCTTCAAATGATTTATTATTCTTTATTTTCTTTTCACCTTCCCTATTATTGTATTTTTTTGGAGAAAGTAACTTTTTACTTATTAGCATTGCTAGTTTACAACGCGCATCTATTAGAATAATGACATTTTCACCAACGAGATCTGATACCCAAAAAAAATTTTTTGAACTAAAAATCCTAATACTCCATGATCTTGTATAGTTTTATAATTGTCTTTTTGTGTTTGACTTTCTCCAAAATAAACTAACAAACTCTTTTTTAAATTTTTTTGTTAAAACAAATAAAATTCATAATCGTCGCACCATAAATACAGAAAATAGTAAGCTATACTCTTCTATTTTCAACACAATTAAACATGGTAAGTTTTCCATAAAACAACAATGTATTTCCTAATGGAACCATTGTATTCCTGCATTAATAAAAAAGTCTAAAAAAAAATATCCCTATGTTACGGATTATGTACTGCTCTACAGAATTCAATTTAAAAATATATTGTTGGAGAGTATTTCTTTATAATTTCTCTCTGTACAGTAGTTGTCTTTGATATATAATTTCTTTAACAAAAGAGTGGTTAGATTTTTACTTTATTGATTATTTATCTATATTTATTTATTATTGTGTTATTATTGCTACATTTTATGTTATTATTATATTTGATTATTATCTATGGTATGTATTTAAAATTTATATTGTAATATAATTGTTTTTAATATTATTGATACTTTATTATTTTTGTTATTATTTTGTATTATTACTATAATTATTACATATATCATTATTATTTGTTTAACAATCTTTTCTTTTTTTTTCTCACTTATACATATTGTTTTTGCATTTCTTTTTTTTTTTTTTTTTTTTTTATTTCTTTATGCCTTTATTTTTTCCAAAAATTTATGTTTTTTAGGTGTCACTCCATTGTTTGTAACTAGTTTGTAACTATATAAGTGACACCTAACCAAATTCTATTAACTTAAAATGAGCTTTTGTAAATTTTTATTGATATGGTTGAATAAAAAAAAAAAATAGAAAAAATCTCTAAAGAGTTAAAGAAACGTAGAGACTTAGCAATGGCTCGATCAATTTTTCACTGATAACAGCTAAAAAACCCAATTGATGAACAAAAGCTGTAAGTTTAAAAAAGTTTCAATGTTTCAGTTGTTCTTGAGATATTGTGGAATTCTAAAAAAATATTGTATGAACTATGTTATTGGATCTATTTTAATCAGAAAAGAGTTTGACAAACCGAGAATAGTGTTGAAGTAATAGTACTGCTTTACTTTAGACAAAAACATCAATCTAAGCTTGAGAACATGTTTAATGGGAATAAAAAATCTTTAATAGGAATAAAAAATGTTTAATAGGAATAGCAAAAGAGATTGTAAATCAAAATATAACCAAAAGTTCAAAAGCTAATTTGGAAAATATATCTCTAAGTTGTATTACCCACAATCACGTTGTAGTAAAAAAACAAACTTTATTTAAACTTTTTAAATTAAAAATCCTACAAAAAAAAACAATTGTCATTATCTCAAAATGAATTTTTCATAATTCGTTGTTAAACTTATATTTTATTATGTAATTAAAAATGTATGTAAAAAAACTATTAAGCGTTTGAAGTAACAATGGTTCGACATGGTCTATACTAACTGCAAATCATGGAAAACACTTGCTTTTGTCCACAAAAATCTGAAAGTTTTTTAAAATTAAAAAAAAAAAAAAATTCCTAGTTGGTTAAAAAAAAATTGTATTTCTTTGCGCAGACATCAATGGCGCCATTTTTTGACATCAACGGCGCCATTTTTTAAAGTATTTTAAAGACAAGTTATAATAGCATTCCTCAACCACGAGTTAATAGGCCGGGTGAATAAAAATGAGCAATTGCTTTTACTCCGGATTTTTGGAGTGAATTACGTGAATAAAAATTTTGAGCTATTTTTTGTGGGAAACTCTGAGAAATTACTCATATGAGAGAGAAAGGAGTAAATAAAAAAGCTTTAACTCATAAAAAGACGAGCAATTGCTTCAAATTTTACGAGCACCTATAATAATTGCTTTTTGTTTTATTTTTTGATAATTACTACTTTATTTTAATTTTTTTGACTCATATATATAGCACCACCACCAAAAATTGGTTAAAATTAGAAATTTTAACTGATTTTGATGGTTTGAAAATCTTTTATTTTACATATTTAAAAGGAAAATCTTTTTAAATACATATTTAAAAGCAAAATGGGTTATAATTTTTATAAAAAACAAGTTTTAATATATAGTATTCATTTATTAAACAAATATTAAAAAAAAATCAAATAAAACGCGAAAAAAATAATAGCACCACAGCTTTAATGTGTACTTTAAAATAAGGAAATATTATAAGCTCAATCGTTTTAAACATTATACAATAAATATTAGTTATTTCTTAACATATTAGTACTTTGTAGCGTGACCTTTATTGGCAATAACGGCTACACAAAGTCTTGGCATTGAGTTAACCAAGTCCTGACATCGCTTTAGTGGAATTTCGCTCCATGTCTCCTTAATTGCGTTCCAAAGTGACTCCTTCGTGATGGATTTGGCAGCAGCAACCACATCCTTTACGTCAGCCCTCAAATTCTCGATTGGTTTAAGATCTAGCAACTGTGCTGGCCACTCCGTAACGTTCACTTTATGCTCCTAAAACCAATTCTTTGCCTTCTTGCTAGTGTGCCTTGGTTCATTGTCCTGTTGGAACACCCTGGACAACGGTATTTCATAGTCTGCATACGGCAACATCACTTTATCCAATAAATTAGCATAAACGTGTTGGTCCATAATAGTAGTAATGTGATGAATGGACTTTACTCCGTAATAAGAAAAACATTCCCATATCATTATACTACAACCTCCACGTTTAATAGTTTTGATGGTATATTTTGGATTGTATTCTGCATTTGGTGGTCTTCTGACATACGCCCGGAAGCCTTTTCCACTATAAAGCACAATCTTACTTTCGTTTGTTCATAAAATGTTCCTCTATTTTTCGAGTGGCCCATTTGAGTGTTTTTTAGCAAACGCAATACGCTTTACAACATGTCTGGCACATAGAAGTGGAACTTTTCTGGGGCTACAGGCTTTTAATCCATTAAGTTGCAGACAACTCCGAACTGCTTGTACTGTTGCATCGATGTTAAAGTCTTTTTTCAGCTCGGTAGCTATTTTAAAAGGTTCGTTTTTAGCCTGTCGTACTTAGCGATTGGCCAGCAATGTTGAAATAGAACGTTTTCGACCACGTATTTCAAGCTTTTCTTGAAATTTTATGGCATTTCTTATTATTTTATTGGAATACTCAACTAAACGACCAACTTCTCTATAAGACTTCCCTGCTGATATTAACTTTTGGATCAGTTCTCTTTTTTGTGCACTGCAATGCTTTCCGCTTTTCCATTTTTATATGTAAATGTCTCCAACTAATACTCACTAACTTAAACGAATAAAACAGCAAAAGAAAAAACCAACGCTTTGATGAAAACAAGGGTTTGATGAAGACAAGTATACCCTAGGTGTATTTATCGATTTAAGTAAAGCTTTTGACACTGTCAATCATCAAATCCTTCTATCCAAACTGAAAAGTTATGGTATAATAAATACTAATTTGTCCTGGTTTGATAGTTACTTGACTAATAGAAAGCAGTTTATTTCATATGATAGCGGAAAAACGGAATATAAGTCAATCACCTGTGGTGTTCCTCAAGGATCAATTTTAGGACCACTTTTATTTCTCGTTTATATTAATGACTTATATAAATTTTCTAACATTTTAAACTTAATTTTGTTTGCAGATGATACAAACTTGTTTTATTCTAGTAAAGATATCAGTAAATTATTTCAAACAGTAAACAAAGAACTTGAAAAATTAACCCAATGGTTCAAATCAAACAAACTATCTTTGAACATCAATAAATCCAAATACACTTTGTTCCATCGTCTTCATAAAAAACAAGATATTCCATTAAAACTTCCTGATCTTTTTATTGATAACGCATTATTAAAAAGAGA